TTAGTAAATCAGTAATTGAATCATCGAAGTGTGAACAGCATTCTCTTTAGTTCATCTTTTTGAATAGTTCAACTTTCATGCATTGGATTTCAAGTTGTAAGTTTAAACACTTAGCTGAAGAATTGCCAACTCTTGTATACAAAAATCTCTATAACATAAATTCAAGTTATAGGTTACTTACTTGAACTAAATTAAACTAATTAACCTTGTGAACTAAATCTCTCATTGATCAATATCTATTCTTGTTCATGATGTTCATGCGAAAAAAATTCAATCAGTTCCAGTGAGGTACACTTTTCTTTCTAGTGAATTTAAATAATCTTCACTGAACATGTAGAAGTCTGGCCATAAAAAGATTGAATGATATTTCATTCATTCTAATTTTAAAATCTTCCTACATATATCCAAGTATAATTGATTAGTTGTCCACTATGTACACGTAAATATGACCTAATTTCTTTTCATGATGTTTTTTTGTTAGGACTAGTATTCGTGAAGGGTTTTCCTCTTTGAGTTGGTCGTCTTTACTCAATGTTATAACCCCTAGTGATAGTTTCTACATTAATGTTTTTCTTCGTCTCTTGGCCCACCTATTTCTGACTCACTATATAAGTAGACTCCACATGAGATAAGTTTAACTAAGAGATCAATAGGTATCAAAACTCTATGCTAAAATGGAGAGTCTTAATATCATTAAAATCTTTTGCTAATTAATTTCCGCCTACGTTTTTCATAAAATACATTTTATAGTGACTAATGTTTATGACAATAATTAAAAAAAGTCACTTTGTTTTCGTTATATTTCTCTGAAGTATCGGAGATTTTCTGTAATCGATATTTAGTTATTACGTAAGGTTAACGTTAATCAACATAAGTTTAAATATAATATTCGGACCATTTTTGTAATCATTACTTAAAACTTGTTAAAATATACTTTGTAGCTGACGGATATCTTTAACTCTTACACTTAGGGCGTTACTTATACTCGGTTACATAAGTTTTAACTTAGTTACTAAATCATTTTCTCATGTAGCTTCACTTAATTTCCTTCGAAAATTCGTGTGATAACATTATTGCTGGTTGAGAACAATTAGTATAAAGTTATGTACTTGTTTTACGCTACTTAGAACTCATTATCAAGGCAAATGCACAATCTTGGGGGAACTGATCCAATTTCTAGAATTCAGGTATGTGTCACTCGATTTCACTGTCAGTGACATCACCATTGAGCTAATTTGATTGTTGCCAATATCTTGTAAGACTGAAACGCTAACATCAATTGTTTAGCGAATAACTGCTAATTTCATATTGTCTATTCCTTAACAGTGATCAAATTCGACCGATTCCACTGAAAACATCAGTTCTTTCAAGATTACAGGTAAATCGCTCTGATAAGTCCCGACTACCAAAAATAAAACTAAGAGCGCTGCCTACCGAATGCATTCAACTGTCCAACATAGTGCTCCAGGATGTCCAATCATTTAAACTAGCGGCCACTCCTTGCAACTTGATTCTATTGTATTTGATCAACACTAGGAACTAAATAAAGATGATATTGTTTATTGATGGATAATTAACTTATATTGACGATAATTAATCTGTCCTTATAAATCAAGTTGGGCTCATAGCTGGCCACATAAATATCACTTCTATTGGTTGATTATTTCATAATAATTCTTATTGTACCTCGACTTATGATATATTTTTTTATGAATACTGATAATAATATCATGAACTTTTAAGAACAGTTTTTCCTGTTTACATCAACATGGCCCGATAATATCCATGTCAGTTGTGTATTGTATCACATGCAATAAAATATGATATTCTATCAATTCTAATCAACCTATATAAGCATACACGAGATTGAATTGCTTCTGTCCTATTAGTATTATTATTCGATCTTATCTTTCCTGTATTTGTTTGTCCATTGTTTTTATTATATTCTAAACACTCACATGACAATTTATATGACATAAAATATAATTATTAATTCTTTTTCTTATCCCTTTCCAATCGTTCATTTTATTTACTGTGCTATTTATTAAAGTTGTAATTACAGCACAAATGAATTCTTAATCGGTGATTAACATACTATTTTAGTGATTTAATATGAATTGGACAGTAGTTACAATACTCTAAGAAACGCCTGAGCTATTTATAAAAGAATTTAAAATGAAACTATATTGTTTTACTCTAGTAATTTCTCTAATCTAGGTTATAGTTCGGATAATATTTTAGAAATTGTTTTTATGTTATTTGTTTTAATGATATACGTAGGTTACTGGTATTCAGTCACAGGTGTCTACACAGCATTGCTTTTGTATTTTGGGACCACAGAGTAAACTATGCCTGGATTAGGAATGGAGTACTAGATAAAGATGAGAAATCGATTCATGAGGTAGTAAATCTTCATCATAATGGAGAAGATTTGTAGCTCAGGTGGATGATTTTGATGGGTTTTTGTTCTCTGAGCTGCATGGTTTGGTCATGGAGCTTTCAGATAGAAGTCCATCCGAAGTGTGTGCTGATGATGTCGTTCAGAAGAACGATGAAAGCTCCACGATTAAACCATCCAGCTCAGAGAACGAAAATCCATCAAAATCTTCATCAACTGAGGTAGTTGGGACATATGTTACGTATGCCCAACCACCGTCTACCTCGGCAGGCGATGTTTTCTGGTGCAGGAGCAGGTTGGAAGGAAGCTAGAGAATCGTCAAACTAAAACATGGCATCTGTTCATGTAGCCACATGGAATCAGACTAAGCCATGTTATTACGTACAGACAACCTGTTTGGGTTCCGCGTGATTATCGTAATAAATGATTAGAGATTTTGAATAACATGGTTCAAAATCATTGTATCTTGGATGCCTAGTCTTTCCTGTTATCACTGATACTGTTACTATCTTTACTATTCTAAGACAATTATATAAGACTTTCTTAGCTTTTGCCACTTTACACGATATTCTCTGCTCATCAAAGGTTGAGTATGCTGTATAGCAGTTCTCTATGTATTACTTTATTACTGTGGGAATTGAAAACATCTTTAGGCTCTTAGTATTCAGTGCCCTCCAAGGATTGCTTGCGTATGGTAAAATCGTCTAATAATTAATCCTGAGTTTATGCGTAGTGTTTTGGGTGGAAACTTATGCAGTAGGATTTTACAATCTAATAAATAGATTTTTGATCATTAAATGAAAGGAAAGAATGCTGATCAGTGAATGATATGAAGTTGCTTAGTGCTGACCGAATCATTGATGTAAACTCTTGAATTGTTTGAGATCAAATATATGACTATTAGCCAGAGTAATAGGTTTTTCTCCAATAAAGTAGCATTCTTATATACAAAATATTGAACTCAAAAACAAATGTGATTAAGTATTATAGCCAATTGAAGAAATTCAGTTTTGTAGGTCAGTCATTCTAAAAACAACTAACATGTTACTCATCGTTTCAGAAGCAGTCATTGTATTCTGATAAGGCCATAAACTTTCAACCAATGAGCTAGCTGAGTGATCAATGTTCCATTGGAATAGCTGCATTATTTCCAAATAACGAAAATGCCATAGTTGTCTATTATTGATAGGGAAATTCTCCTTGGTTCTTTACACATTTCATTTTTACAGCTAGAAAAAAAGCACTTTGTAAATTTTCAATTTTCTATCATGATTCCAGTGTCGTTTAGATCGTTTCCTACGTCATATTAAATAAATAAATTGTCGTCTAAATAAGTAATATTTTTCGTATAGTTATCGTTATTATTCTGATTTTTATCAGTGGTATTCGGATTAAACTTAATAATAACAACTCATTATTCCAGTTTTCAAGGAATGTACTTATTTCATGTGTGGTTATATATATATTGCGTCATCACAAATACCGTTTGATGTGACTATTACGAACAGTCACTTATATTTACAAAATTGTTTTATTGGTTGGTTGAATTGTTTACGTAATTGATTAAAAAGTGTTTATTTTCAATTCAAATCAGTTTAGAATGGTCGATTATGTTTGATGTTTTGTTGTTGTCTCAATTATTTATAACTCGGTGATCAAAATAGAAAACAATTGACTGTTAGGATCAAGTTCAACATGTTTTTCTCCTCCTTCTCTTCTTCTTCTCCTTCTTCTTCGTTTGTTTAGTGTTATCGTCATTTTTCGTTAGTCTTGTTCTTTTCGATAATTCTGTTAATACGGAAGAGAAAAATATTGATTGTTATGAATGATTTTTGATCCTGTAATCATCACTTAATTCGTCTGTCCATCATAGATTTATCGAAAATTCAATAAACATATCCAATGTGGAAATAATACACTTATTTTATACATGAGGAGTGTTTAAAGTTGGAGTATTATTGACGAAATGTGCTTGTATTATTTTTTTCAACCAGTTTGATACTCGCAGTATTTTTTTTTATAAGGTTTCACTCGTAAACGGTCTAAAATCGATTATCATACCACTTAATAGTTGAGTCGAAATTCAGGTATTTTATCAACCAAGTTTAGGCCACATTGTGTGTGTTCTTATACGTATGAGTGAGACAGTGATACTGTTATTCAGTTACCGAAACTGAAGTAAGGGAGGAGTAGTGTTTGTGAAGTTGGCACTTTCTCGAAACTCTGTCTTTAACAATAATTTTTCTATGTACTGAATAATCATTCATTTTCCACATCATACTACTCGTCCAAGTCACATGATGTTTCGTTATGAGAATAAAGTTTGCTTGACACACACATACACAATATCGATATCATTAACGTCAGTTTGATTACGGATATATATATATATATAGTTTCAAGGATAGTGTTCTTCGTCAACTTCGTTGGTTCGGCAAAGCATTAGAACAAGTGTTACGATCAGTAGTAACCTCGTTTAACCTGTGAATTATATTATCATATCGACTATTGATGTGCACTTGAGTATTTTTTCACATTCTTCAAATTATTATTCTTGTATTATGATCCTTTTTGCGCTTCATGTTTTTTTCTAATTTTATAGCTTAGTCGCAACCTATCTATTACACAACGGTTTCCTTGAGTCGGCTCAAGCTTTAGGCGAATGGGTCACAAAGGCTTCTATCGATTCTTCTACTACGACCAATGAAAACAATGAGGTTACTGATAATAATGACTGTGATGTACATCATAATGAAGACAGCAGTAGTAATTATGACACAAACGGTAAATCACCTGTAAAATCATCTGCATCTGAAACACCGAATGGTAGTTGTCCATCGTCTATAAACAAACATATATATCAAATAGATTCAATAACAAATTCTACAAATGGCACTTGTCATTTGAACAACGATCACAATCATAGTAACCACAATAATACTGACACTGATAATAACAGTATTACTTTCGATGAACTAGGTGGTGAACAGCAGTCAAAGTTGCCAACAACAGCGCCAACCAATCAACATTATCAGTCGAAGGCAAATTTAGTCAAATCATCGAAGGATACAATCCTAAATGATTTATTTCGTTGGCCTGAAGCTGTAGATATACTACTAAGACGAAGACATTTAAGAGAGACTATTCGTAACGGTGATTATTTATCTGCATTAGATCAATTAAAAGCTTATTTCAAAACATTATGGGAAAATGATCCATCTATTACGTTTGTATTAAAATGTCATCATTTTATAGATTTAGTAAGTTGTTTCTTATTGTTATTTTAAAGAAACTAACATATTTAACTAGTACTGCTTATTTATTTATGCAAATATTGGTACAAGGAGGTACCAAATATATGTGCCAGAAAAATCGAATAATTTGTGTGGGGGCTGGAATACTACTCAGACGCTCAAACCGAAGCAGATGGCTTTCTTTGGGAGCCACACCCTGAGCCTTTGACCTAAAGCTCTAATCCGCAAGCAGTGGAGAAACGTTAGGAGATACAGTCCCATGGTGGCCGGTGGCCAACAATAGGTCCACACACTATTTGTCCCTCAGGATCCTAGAGCCGATGTGGACCATTGGTTTGGAGTCAGGATTTTCCAACTCCCTTCATTAAATCCTTCATACATGCTAACCAGGTTAAGGCGTTGGACATTCACTTTTCGTCCTCTCAATCTCGTATACAGCACGTCCGCTGCGAGAAGGCAACGAATAGAATTTCACTGGTAGTGGTTGTATACGTGTGGCCATGTGAAAGCATTTCTAGAGGGGTGCTCGAACCCATGATCTAATAAGTAAACAGTTATGCAGTTTACTATCTATGGGACTCCTTGACAGTGCATATTTACGATCCCGCAGGCGGGACTTGAATCCAGGACATTCAGTTTCTCGCGAACACTTAACCTCTAGTGAGCCGGCATTCAACGGTGTTAATGTCTAACTTTACAAAATGCTTGTACTTTAATGATGATGGTTGTAGTAGTTCTTCACGTCTCAGTTCCGTACTATTAAACTGTCTCGAGTTTTGTTTTGAGAATTTTGACTTGGATGTTAGATGACAGTTGTTTTGAGTTCCACATGTTCTTCAGTTGTAGAAATGCTGCCCTTGACTTGTCAGTTCATGCCTTCACATCTGCGTTAGATCCCCTTTACTTATTATGATGTTGTCCAGATATTTAAAGGCTCCTACCGCTTTCAGAGCTTGATCATTTAGTGTGATTTGGTTGGTGCTTACTGTATTGTATTTCAGATGTCCTGAGGTATTTACACGGTTACGCCCGCAAAATTCATAGTGTATGACACTAAAACATAAAACAGTGCTATATCAGTCTTTGTGGTTTAATTTAACTTGGTCATTATTGTTATTACTATTTTTTTGTTAGTTGCAACGTACTGGTTTATATTTTTTATTTAAAATAAAAAGAGATATCAATCATCAAAACACTGTTGCACTTTTACAGTCCACGCTTTTAACGAAATTTTTTCCATCACCCTGACAAGCAAAACACCCACGAAATCGCATGAGTTTTAATTTTAGCAAAAAAAAAGATAAAATAAGGTGAACTAACTAACATGCTGTACTCGTTTAATTAATATGTCGACCGTTTCAGTGTGTTGTATACGCACTTGCACATCAGATGTGTAGATAATTCAGTTAAGTATGAACAGGTCAAGGCTGTGCAGGATTATAGGACATATATATATATATATATTGATAATTTCACCATCTATCTATTGGTAATATATACATATAGTACACTTCTGTTGAAAAAGGGAAGGTGATAAAACATTTTCTTAAAATCGATTATATTCATGTTTTTTGGTCGACCAAGGTTGGTCAGGTTTTTTCTCTCCATGTTAAAATAATGGGTGATCGTAAAATTATCGATTCAGTGCATACATCTTATCTTCAAACTTTAATAGGTGATAAATACTTGAAAGTGAATAGCGTAGTTGTTATAGCTTACTATCTGTTTGAATATGTGAAATTTGAAGGATGCTTTCATCAGGAGGATATCGAAGAAAACGAAGGTTGGGATAAATGAGATTTATAGCTTAGACGAATGAATTTAATAGTGTGATATTGTCTGAGCTGAAAGGTTTAACTGTGAAACTCCCGTTATCGCTGTGGACAATATCAGCGCTTACTTCGCGTGTGAATGTTCTTTTTGATTACTCAACAGGTATTAATTCAATCTTCTCTGGTGACCTTGTTTCCACCTGTTTGCCTTCGCAGCTTTGATTATCTCGATATGCTCCCATTGACTGCTTTGTTCAGCTGACTCTTGATCATGTGATTTGCTAATATTTTTGTCCTACATTCATAGATTGGTTCCATTATAATGTATGCTGATCACATATTGACTCGAATTTATACAGATAGATACATACACAAATTTAATTGCTAAGATGTCAACATTCTGAATAGGACAAATTCTATAATTTTTAGGGTGTATTTAGGAGCACAAATGAAGTATTGAAGGTAGGCACTGATAATGATGTCCAGAACGACAACGAAAGTCTCTCAATTGAAAACCATCCAGTTCAACAAATATCAACACTAGAAAAAGTGAAAGTAATTCTTGACTTGATTGTAATATTTATAATAATTCTATGTAAATTGTTTTTAAGGCAAGGAACTTAAGTAAAACAACCGATTTGAGTTTTCTTCTTGCTTACGAAATCGAATGTGAAACAATCATATAGATTCAATATTAGAAACTGAATACATTATATGAGATATCGAACAAACAAAAATATCAGCATGGGTTGTGGAGATAATTGAGTTGTAATTGAAATCATGAACCAATCAATGTTAGACTAACGTTGAAAACCTGGAAGTACTGGACGGCCGTTCCGTCCTAGTTTGGGACCCCTTGACAGTGCACACTTAAGATCCCGCACGTGGAACTAGAACCCGGAACGAAACGTTCGTCCAGTGCTTCCAGGTTCTCAATGGTGGTGTAGCATTGATCAGTCCATGATTTCAATTAAAAACCAATAATCTCCACTACCTTATACTGATAATCATCATGTGCTCACTAGTGACTATCTTCGAGAGGTAATTCTCGGAGTTTTAGTGCGAAGTATTTGACCACAGATTCCTTAGAAATATTGCTGGCGTCTGCTAGGATCACCGGGTAAGTAATAGTGAGGTTAGACACAGGGTATTAGGAAATGATGGTAAATCAGTTGATGAGGTTATGAATCTTCATCGACTGAGATGGTTGGGCTACGTGTTACGTATGCCTGAATACCGATTACCACGACATACAATGCTATCCGGTATTGGAGATGGTTGGAAGAAAGTTAGGGGCGGCCAAACCAAAACGTGGCATCAGTGCTTGAAGTCACTAACTTCTAGTTTGATCCATGTTGGTAGATGCAGACTACTTGGTTGGGGTCCGCGTGACTATTGTAACCAATGGTTGGAGATTCTTGGTGACATGGCTCAGAATTGATCACAATGGCGTCGGTGTATACACTCTCTGTCTTCCCTTAAATTAAGAGATTAAAATCGCTTCATACCTTTCTTTCTACGAACCAATTTTTTCTTCTTGTATTATATCTCTATATGCAATCTTCCTCTTATATATTACCACCTTTAACCTAACCACTTATATGAATCCGGTGTCCATCTTGTTGTGTTAGTGAGGTATGTCAACCTGGGCCGATGCATACATGTGCCTGGTCCTACGTTGTAGCTGACTGACTGACTGAGTGCGAAGTTGTTACCAGTGCAGTTTAATCTTGTCGGATGTGAGGCAGTTACCCACCGGGAATAGAAATATCACAAAGATAATATTAATTCGCTAACCAAATACTTCATTTACTCATCTTTAAATTACGTAAAACGTCACTGATGTCACCGAACTACCCAAATCCAATTAAATTATGGCAAGGTTTAAATTCACGATCAAACAATTACTTAAATACTTAAATAACTCTTCAATTTACATGTAGTAATATCTCGCATAAATGTCAAATATAATTATTGTCGACATCGTATAAAAAAATGACTATTATTTATATTTAGTCTATTTAACTGACAAAATTGTTACAACTGAAGCATCAAAATTAATATACGCTAAACAAAATTAAAATACAACTTTGTGAAGAAATAAGGAAGGTAAGTTGAAATGCAATCGATAAACAAATAGATGAACCGGAGTAGTTATACAATGGAAGGTACATTTCGGTTAAAAAGACAACAAAGATAGACTTCATCCAATTAAAGGAATTCATTTCAGTTTCATACAAAATGTAAAAGAAAACTACATCAGAATTGCCATTAGCTTCTATTCTAAGCCATGTTCAATAACTTCTCTAGCCACTAAGTTTCATTATCTCTACAAAACCAGGCAAGGAGTTGTGATGAACTGACAGATGTTAGTCTTATATAACTTTCTTTCATACTACGACACCCTGTCATAAACTGATTAACTTTACACTGCCCCGTTTCCAGCTTCAGCAATTCATACACGATGTGTTCACAACTATTAGCACATATACAATCTGTTTTATACTTTGCTTGACATAATAATTTATCGCATTTATTGGTTTCTCAAGTGATAAATTTTCCCTAATGGTCATTTAAATTTATTCTTTTAAAAACCTTTGTTAGCTTGCTTGTTATTATCTACAAAACATATACTACGTGATCACTTCTGTAGAATTAACCAATCATTTACTTTGTTCTTACAGACAGTAACAGTAACAGCGTATAAATCATTTAAATTTATTGAGTTTTGCTTCCCTCCTTTGGAATTTTTTCGTAATGTTGCAAAATTTTCGTTACCGACGAATTAAATAAACTGATTGAATGTAGAAAATAAAGCATAACGACTATCAACTGTTTATTTATCCTATTTACGGCTGGCTGACTTACTAAAACACCAGATTATTCGTATATAAAACTTTGTATTGATATGTATTGATTTTGTTTTTCAATCACGTGAACTATATATATGAAATTCGTGATATGATTGATCACGGGATTGGGAAATCTTGTGATATATACATTTATTCAGTTAAGTACTTTTCTTTAAATCATATACTTTTATTTCTGTAATTCCTATGTGGTTTCAAAATAACATTTTGATGTGCATTGTTTGCTTGTGTTAAAGAGGAAGGGGGAAAGAGAGACAGTAATGGGAAATCTGACGATTGTCATTATTTATATTTAAATATTTTTTTCAATAGTCAGTACAAAATGATCGAAAGTTGTACATCATCTGATTAATAATAGTATGAATGTCGTTGAGAAGAGATTTCTTCTATTTTTAAAAGTTAATTCTTCCATCCATGTGCATTAAGCGTTCCATATATTTATACACGAAAGATAATTGAACTGTGTGCACAGTTCAAACTTTTTTGTTCACCTTTCAAGAGCATTAGCTATTAGTTATATGCGATATGTTTATTACCCATTAAATATACTCTGTAAAAGTTTTCTCATTATTATTAAATGTTCTTTCATTAAATTGTATTTCAAATTAATCTCAATCTATACTAATTTTGTTTGTTTACTTAAATAGTACCCACAATAAAGTTTAAAAAAGTTTTTTGTTATATTCCAGTGAGTAGAAAGTTGTATTTATGACGTTTCATGACTTAATGTAAACCATGTTTTTATTTACTCTAAAGTAATGGGCTTACATAAAGTTATGAAACGTCTGAAATACAATTTTCTACTCATTGTCGTACCACAAAATTATATTTATTATTAACTTTCTATGCAGTCCTCAATTTATTCAAAACTATCAAAACAAACCTTGGCATTGATACCTACAAATACAATAAAATAATAAATCTCAGATTGATACCCACTTTTGTATATAATTCCATAGATTCACTGTTAAATTAGAATATATCATACAAATAGAAATTTCTAATAAATTACAAAGCGTAGCACTGAATAAGAGTACTCGTAAAAACTTACATTTACATCGTTGTATGCGTTGCGTTCAATTAAAGGAGGGAGATGTTCAAATTATTTATAAAACTTGTTTTTACATTCAACTAAGTCCTGTTTGATAACATCCTAGGTTCTTAGAAAAATATTTCCATTAAATAAACTTTGAAAAATTAAACGATAGGATTGTAATAATTATATTATTTCATCCTTCAAATAACAATAAGTTGTGAGTTTGAACTCCAGCTCCGAGTACTTTTTATTTTGATACATACATCAATTGAAATGACCAATTATGCTGGAACTACTATTCAAACATTTGACTATAAAAATATTAAACTTATTTAATTTTTAATAACTGAACTACCTAGAATCTGTTCAACCTTGATTCTAATTAGAACATGTTTTCAAGTTTTAACAACATGATACAATGGTGGTCTAGCTTCAACTGTCTCATGATTTCAACCTGTGAAATTTACTAAAATCTCCACAAAACTCATTCTGATAATAATCAACTGCTCACTAGTGACTGACTTCAGAAGAACCTCCTGGAGTTCTAGTGAGAAGCCGTCACCAGTGGAGTTCAACCAGGTCTGTTGTGAGATATCAGCTCATTGAAGACATTGGTGTTCGATGGCGCAACTTCGTGGATTGGTTGAAGTTAGACATTAACACCGTTGGATGCTGGCTCAGTGGTCTACTGGTTAAGTGCTCGCGCGCGAAGCCAGTAGGTCCTGGGTTCGAATCCCGTGGGGGGCGGGTTCGTGGATGCGCACTGCTGAGGAGTCCCATACTAGGACGGGACGGCAGTCCAGTGCTTCCAGGTTTTCAATGGTGGTCTAGCTTCAACTGACTCATGATTTCAACCTGTGAAATTTACTAAAACCTCCACAAAACTCATTCTGATAATACAATAATAGTTTAATTGAAAAAAATCATAAAATATCACATAGTTTTATTTAAAATAGGTTACTTATTTTTTTCTTTCTGGTCATTTGATTAATCTAATTTCAGTATTATACATTAAGTACATTTAAGTCTTGTGAAATAAATTACAAAAGTCCATGAACCTTAAACTGTATGTGAATGTGTAATGAAAGAGTTGATTATTTTGTTCAATTTCATAATTTTCAGTGATCATCATATCATTATTGTATTCTTGTTGTTTATATTTCATTTCATGTTTATATTTTATGTATTCACTTATTCATTCATTTATCTTAGCTTTATTAATCAAATTGGTAATTTTAAATTATTGATACTGAGGTTATCCGTTACATATCTTAATATTTAAAATAATATGATATATAACCAATACTTTCGTTCATTTTTCTATTCTTTAAGTGAATTAGTGTCTCATGTTAAAGTGTGATTTCATTTCAAGCCCCAACTTTCAATAGATTTGTGTTTTTAAATCTTGCATGTTATGCTGTGCTATACTGACATGTTCACATCGGACAGTTTTAAATGACTTCAGATGTGCTTAGTCAATCAGTTAAACGCAACGTAAAACTTTGGTACGTGTGTACATCACTTCAAGTTGCTATAGCCTATTAGCATAGCGAAATGAAATTTTTAGGGCGAATTCCGAGGATAGTAGAGTTAATGACATTATTAATGGCAATGGAAAAGTTTACGCTTTGAAAATACAACTCGAGAAAAAATATAAACTAGTTAAATAAAAAGTTTATGAGGAATTTAGAAAATTAAAATTGAAGAGAAGACAAAGAGTGGATGAACATGAACTTCAAACAGGTAGTCTACACCTGTTACCATAGCTCAGTTTAATTCCCAGTGACTTCATGAACTGTTGCCATTTTTTTGGTTCAGCTGCGCCTACTTTTCTTCTAATCTACTCCTGACATCTTTTGTCAAGTTAGTCAGTGGGTTTCTGAAAAATGGTTAAAAAATCCTAGATATAACATATTACTTGAAAATTGCATATGTGACCGATAATCTCAGTTATATTGTTTTAATAATTATAGTTCAAAAAAGTTTTTCTTTCATAATTACATATGGAAAAGTTTGTCATCATACGTTTATTACGATCTTTACTAAACTTTAATTAAAAAAGAATTTTAGTTACAATAATATTAACATTTTCATTTATTTGTTTCTGATAGAATGTTATATCTAATTGTAATTTTAATGCTTCAAAATGATATCGCTCAGAAACTATGTATTTTTGTTTAATATTTTATATACAGTCATTTTCGATTGATTAAATTAATCTTTTTTTCCTATTAGGATAAAAGGTTTGTAGAAATTATCCAATTTGAGATTTGTTTTCTTTTGTATTCATATTTTTGCTTTTGTTTTACAGATACGTCAGCATTATACAACCAATTCTTCCAAAGAACCTGTATCTTTAAACGGTTTACCTGACAATAATATTATTGATAGTAATATTAGGAAAACATTACAATCTAACGGCCTGGATACTCATCGAAATAGTCAAAAGAGAATGAAGCCTTCAAGCTCTTCAGAATCATCACCTGAAATAACAACAACACCTAATAAACATGATTGCCAATGTAAACATTTAATTAATTCTAATCATAATCATCATTCAATGAATTTAGAGCTAACAGCTCACACAACAATTGATGCTACTAATATTACAGATAATTCTATCATCAATCGACCGTCTTGTTTAACATCAACTACTAATAATTATAATCATTCACATAATCCATCAGATTATCAATCACCTGTTAGGCTTCGTTTTAACCTACCAAGTAATGAATGGAATAATAATGGATTATTATTACCAGCAATAAGTGGTGAATATAGCTCTGAAATTCTACCGTCAGTCTTTCCAAAAAATGGTCCTTCTCTTAATGATAATAGTCCTTCTGCTAATGGTACTGGTGTTAGCCTTGACTGTATTACTAATGGTAATAATAATGATAATAATTCATCAGAAATCATCTGTCCTGTTATGTTCCCTGTCTATGCAGAAAACAATCACATTAAGGTAAGATAAAATAAAAACTTATTAAGAATAAATTAATGTGATCTAAAATCTATTTGCTCATTTTTATTGAATGAAAATTAAATATTTTGGTAGGTTGTATTCTCTGAACTGGATGGTTTGGTCACGGAGCCTTCATCGTTCTTCTGGATGACACCAGCACGACCAAACCATCTAGCTCAGAGAACAAAAAGCCATCAAAATCATCCGCATGAGCTACAAGTCTCCACCACTTTAGAATTGAATATGTATGTAATTTTCATACTAAAGTTTAAAGTTGTGATAACACCTTTTTAATGTCTTTTGTTTACTTTATTTCTTAGCACTAGATACCTATAACCGAATTCTGAATGAATTTAAAAAGATTCTAGTGTTGTTATTATTATGAATAGAAGTTCACTATTTGAAATTAAGCCGACTAGAATTTACTAGTGTGATATGATATAACAGTTGTAGAAATTATATTGCGAATTGTCAGCTACGGTTTCCTATTAATTCAATGTTTAATTATACAAAGTCGATATTTGTAATCGTCAACTATGCTCACTAGTAAAATAATCCCCCGTATTTTTTTCATTACTACTTTAAGTTTGTACGAATACTACGTTGAGTTTTTCACAAAGTAAATAATTATATGCTTAATACTTTTGAATCATTCTTCAGCATAACTTTCGATGAAAATTCCTCAATATACTAGACCCTTTTGTACCAATATTTATTTTTTATTAGGAAAGTGATTGCTTTTATTATCGATGTCTACTTGTGTGCTTAGTGACAACTTTGTTGACTTATTTGAACTAGTGGGTGTGTAATACGACTTCCTCAATAGAACCCAATCAACGCCAAGGAATAGACAATATGATATTGGTAACTAACTAGTTAGTTATCGATTGGCCTTTCAAGCACAGTTACTCTAAACTACAGTGTTAACTTCGAAAATTTTTTGAAATGGTTAAGTGAATCAACATCGCATACAGTATTTTGATATTTTAGTTAGTTGCAAGTAGTCGACAAAAGTAGACAAACATGATATTGATCATTATTTAGCTATCAAACAATTGTAAATATTTCTCAGTTCTACAAGAGAGATCTTTCGCATTACGAATATCTGAGTGATAGTGTCTCGAACTGTGAAGCTGAGTCCTACCCATTGTTGCTACCTTGACGTGGTGGTCGGGCTTGCCTATCGTGATGAATGAATCGAGCTATACTGGCTGGAACAATCGTTCCTCAAGTTCCAACCATGCTAGACAGGTCGGTTGAAGAGCGGTAGGACTAAAAGTAGGAAACCCAAGGTCTGAGGGCGAAGTCGTACTGCTGACTGTACAGAGGCGTGACAACAGTAAGATGTTTCCCTCAGACAACCAGCATGACAGCGATGCTGCCTTCCCACAAGGAGGGGTGGAGTTAGGAAAGGTCGACCCTAAAAATATACACCCGCCTTATCCCACGGATATCCGTCTCTGGCAGTAAGGTCTCAAAAAGTACGGAGCTAACACGAGAATTACCCACAAAAAGGTCGTGTGTGATTGGCCACAATCAGTTGTCCCTTGGGCCTTGCGGTCATGCTCTCAGGTCACTATAACCACTTCTAATCCAATTTCCTTTTCAGGTACCTCCAGAAGAACTCTTCCAGGGTGTGGACAACCGGAAAGTGATAATCGTCCTCATACCTCCAATCAACCTCCCTGTAAACTGAATGTTGCGGGATTAAATCCCACTTGGAACATTATTTCCTTCAAGATTACAGGAAAAAAACTTGCGGATGAGTCTTAACTAACAGAATAACTAGTTTCAGAGTCTCACATCAACTACCTCCAATCACTTAACATTCAACATAGTGAACATAATGTCGAGTCACTTAAACTAATGGCTACATTAGAATTTGATCAGAATTCAAGGACTAGATAGACATGACACCATTTTCTACTTAGTAATGAATCAATTCTGATTGGATTTTATTTGTTGTCGAGTATTCTTCTTAGCTATGTTGTTATATCAAGTAGCTCATATTTGATCACGGTAAAGCCAGTGACAATTATTGCTTACATATAATTCAGTGTTTATTAGTTTTAAAAAAAAAGGTTCAGTGTGTAAAATTTCTAGAACACCTGTATATTTTCAATGTCAAATTGACTTAATCCGATAATAAATCTAAAATGGTTCATTTTAAGTTGTAACTTATTAGTTGTTTTGTTCAAACAGTTTTTGTTATCGTTAAGAATGTGAGGAAACATTCTCACCTTAATAACTGTTTACACTGTTAATCTTTCTTGAATATTAAAAAGGATAAATCTGTTCTTAAACTATATTACTTAACCGACAAGCTGTTTTATTCCTATCTAACATAGAAACTATTATATGAGCGTATGTTAGTCATGTCAAACTGAAAGATTATCAGGTGATTTATTTATAAATTCCAATGTAATCTCATGATATTTGTAATAATGATTAGTTACGGAAAACTTCGTAACGGAGTCAGCTGTTTTCTTCTTGTTTGGTTTTTTGTCAACACTAATTTCAACCATAAATAGTATGATGATGATAGTCTTGATCAATAAGTATGTAGGTATTCCTGGAAGATTCCATTGATTATCATCTGTTAATACTACTACATGAATGAAGAAACTTTGGAAATATTAGACTGTAAACATCAAGATTAATAGTAATAATAATAATGTGGGTTAGAAAAGAAAACATATTATAACTCCAAACTATGTTTATGCTCTACTTTCAATCTCTACAGACTGACAATAGAAAATTGATTAGGCCATACAAATGGAATCATCACCTATCGAATTCTTATATTCGACATATTTCATTAACTGGAATGATGTTAGAACCACATATTGAAGGTTTGAATATGGAATTGCGTTTAATTGATTCAGTCAATGATCTAGGTTTAGGAATTGAGTATAAAGGACTGAACTGTTTAACTGTAATACGTCGTCATCGTGGCGGTGTTGGTAATGGTCATTGTCGACGAAAACGAATACATGCTAATAAGTTACACAGTTTCTCATCATCATCATTAATATCCTTATCTTATGATCGTTCATATTCAACTTCTAATTCTGTATCATTTAAACCGAAATACAAATCAAAATATCATTTTGATTCCTATCATCATGATCATCATCATCCTTCCATTAATGTTCAAAAACAGGCTAATGAAATTATAACAAATGGCAATTCAATGTATTCACCTATTGATGATGACTCTACCCTATCTTTGTCTAAAATCGATCCAATCGATCATGAAAATAATTCTGTGGAAAATAAACAAAATGGTGATTTGTTTCATTCAGTCAACAGTAATGGATTTTATTTTGATGATTCCATTAATTCTAATCATCATCCACATCATCATCATAATTATTTCGATAATAGTAATAATAATAATAATAATGGTGATGTTGGAAGTGTGGATCAGATATTGAATAATGAACTACGTGAGTTAATTGAATATGGACGTAATTTACGATCAAGTGCACTAGAATTGCAACGTCAAGGAGTGATCAGTTTGGAACAATGGTTACTTTTAAGTGTAAGTTTTTTCTCTCTTTTGAATGTGTTGTATTACTGACAATTATCATATGCTCACTAGTGATTAGCTTCGAAAAGAATTTTCCGGAGCTCTAGTGAGAAACAGTGACCAGTGGAGTTCAAACGTGTCGGGTATGAGGCACTTACCCACCAAAGATAATGGAATATGATTGCGCAATATCGTGGATTGGATGAAGTTAGACGTGAACACCGACTCAGTTTTCGTTTTTAATTAATCATAAAGTTGCACTGAATATATAAAGTGATTTAAGTTCATTGGTTGGTTGCACAATGTTAATAAACTCTAGTAGCTATATTCTAAATTTGTAACAGTATCAATAAAAATCTGATCCAGATGACCAAATCCGAGACCTCTAGGTCTCATGACGAACACCTAACCATTAAAATCACCATCCAGTGACTCCTTGTTCTCAATAGTATCACCAAGCAAGGTCAATCCGTAACTAGTTTCTTGTACAGATTACAATGATCTGCATAAAATCCTCACCTGAGTCGAGTAAAATGTAGTCGTTAAACCGTCACATTATACATTATTGTCATTATGACATTATCTTTACATTCCCTTCATCAGGAAAATCTATTCTGTTTTTTTCCTCTCCATTCCTCTTAATTTCTAATAGGATGCATTCAGTTTAGTTGCATATCAAAATCCATACAAAAGTCCGCTTAGTGGTTTGTTACATCCAAAATATCGAGAATTATTAGCTGATGCTGTAAATGATGCTATCTTGGGTAAGTGTAACCCTATTTACAGTTATTTTCCTCTTTATGCATAAACGTCCATCTGTTTTCCTTCTTTTTGACTGGAATCCTTATTACTATCTTGGAACATAATTGTTCATTTCAAGGATTTTGTGTATTTTTTTTATTGTTTCGTCTTTGTGCACAACACATCTGTTACTGTCCTGATATTCAATACCATTTCGTAGTTCTTTCTACGAAATGTTTGTTTCTTCTATGCTAACACACATCACAATATTCGAATTATTCTACTACTGTTACACGTAGTAGGTTTTCTGTGTAACTTCAAGTAAATATTAATGACAGAAAGCTTAGATAGGTGTTGTGTGAAAATTTTCCCAATTAAAGTAGTTTGCTTGTCATGATGAACCAAAAATCAGCTAGACAATCATGAAAGCCAGTATTCTGAGCACCAAATGGTTATATGTGTTTTAACCATGTAATCAACTACATCTAGTGATGATAGTTTTCTGAATTGATTAAAGTTGGAAATGGATAGCATTTGATTCTCAAACACTGAATCGATGGTATACTACTCACCTGGAATCTATGTCGTTTTGTGTTTAATTCTACAGTGAGCTTTCGGCTGCTCTATCAATAACCTATTCAACAGTTTAATTAAATGAATTATATCCAGTTCTATCTAATTTTCCAAGTTTTCTAAACGATTACCACAGGTTTGTGATGGAAACTATTTTTGCAACTATTAAAAAATCTGTACAAAAATTGATGACAACAGTAAGAAGAACATTGTACCTACGTTTCGTGATTGTTCGCACTCATCAGGACAGTGTAGCTACAATCTTGAGATAATTGATGTTGCACGTAGAGTTCACAACCACGTCACTAAGTTTTATAGTTTGGAATGCTATTACTGAGTGATCCGAATATACATATCATTTTCACCTTGATTATAAGACATATACATTTGCATTACTACATTGTCTGGTTAACAAATTTCAATATCACAAATTACCATTTCAGTCCATTTTGTAATGTTTGTCAAAAAAAAAAGTTAATGTCTATTAGAGATTTTACGCTTCAAATAAACAGAAAAAAACAACAACATTAATTCATTCACATCTGTTTTAAAATAGAATGGAATTTATTTTGTAGTAAAAATGAAAAGTCTTTATTCGTTCAATTACACACTGATCATATGATGAACTGCTTTTTTTTTCGTTGTTCCTGTCTCATGTGTGTGTGTATATATATAGACATACACGACATCTACTGGTATCAATTGGAAGTTGACAGTTGAATCTTTGTTGTTCTTTCTCTTAACAAAAAAAAATCCAGTGTTAATTAACATTTTCATCAATAGTCAATTCATTTAATGGGAGGTAGATTAGACAAATTGTAATGTGTAATTATCATTTATAATAGAAATGATCTATATCTACATATTGGTCTGGCTTACATCAGAATTGTTTACAGTTTATCGTGTAATTAAATAATTGTAATGTCATAACAATTTTTTTCATTTAAACTAATCATTTGTTAACTGAATATTGATTATATTAATTGGATGACTCACTGAATTATTTGACTTCATTGGTTATGACTTCTTCCTAGAACCTTAATAAATCCGTTTGGAACTAGTCATTGTGTGGCATTGTTGTGTTTAAGAAAACTATAGATCGCTGGGTGTGCACTGACGAGGGAGGATGCAATCACGTTACTATCTAAAACTTTTAAGTCTTCAGTGATTATGTGACAAATTTCAGTATGTATTAGTGCTGTTTGTTTATTCGACTGTATTTTATTGGTTGGTCATTCCACTTTACAACCATAACTAAGCGTTGAGAACTGACCTTTGCATTTTTCCTTAAAAAATTATATATATATATATATATATATATATATATATATATATATATATATATATATATCCAACTCACCATATACTTTTGTGGAGATACTTGATATGACTGAATATGACGGCACTGATATCAAACTCTTTTAACCAATATACTCAGATAACATGTATAAACTCAGTAGAAAATTGAAATAGAATGTAATACTAGTAGTTAGGTGGTAGATCATTTTTACTTATGGAAAGACAGATGAGATTGGTTAACCGGCTACTGAACGGTTGGGTAGAGTGTTACGAAATGACGTGGACGTTTGACCGTGAGGTTTATGACAGTTAAGTCTTTTAAAACTAACAAGCCCAGCACTGATGTTGAGTGTCTGTTGGTATATATATGGTTTGTTGAATTATTTACATCTACAAAGGGGATCTGTTGATTTAAGATATTGAGGGGCGTGGATAACTTAGAAGTAGGATTTTTGTAGTTTGATAAATTGTTTTAGCCAAGCGGTTTAACTGTTCAGCCTGTTGTTCCCAAAAGTCTTTAATGACAAGTTTGATATGTTAAAAAAGTTATAACAATTTTATTACTCGTTTTCCTCATGTTCGGTTACAGTGGACAACTTTTAACAAAAGAGAATAAATAATGATAAGGTATTGTAACAAAAATGTCCCTTTTATGTTTGTTTAACAATCTCACCCAGCAACTTCCGACTTGTAGTAACGTTGAAAGAAAAAAGCTTTTGCAGCCATTAATCATCTTAATGATCGAATTCATGGGTTAACCGAAGCCAGACCACTATTGAAAACCTAGAAGCACTGGACAGCCATGGATGCTCACCGCTGAGGAGTCCCATACTAGGACGAAACGGCTGTTCGGTGCTTTCAAGTTTTCAATCGTGACGTAGCTTAGATTGACTCGTGAATTCAACTGTTAAAATACTACGATCCCCACAAATCCCCATGGTGATATTAATCATTTCTTCTTTATAACAGACAAAATTTAAATTGTTTAAAAGTATGTCATTTGTTTATTTTTTATGTCAAATTTTACTTTCTCCAGTGCATTTAAAACAACCTTGTCGTCCGGTTTTGGATATAGCTTTAACATATTTGGAACATGTTTTAACCGATGAAGGATCATCGTGTAAAACAACCAACAATGGTCCCTTTGGTTTTTATCGTTTCAAATCTGGTCAGTCAAATGTTAGCGGTTTGTCTGTTGATCCTTTACAAAATAGAACTCCTACTGCCAGGACTACTGCTGATGATATTTGTCTTACATCTAGAACTAATCATACACCAACTCATGAATCTACAATAACACCTGCTTCACGTGATACACCAACTACACCAAATCGTAGTATAGCAATTGGTATCATGCATCGTGATGATACTGATGGTGAACCACGGCATATAACAACTGATATTCAAACATATGCTTTGAGTTTAAATGAATTCAATGGTTCTACAAATCTACTTCGTCCTGCTAGTACTTCAATTATATCCAGCTCTTTGTATGTTCCTCCATCGGCATTAATTTCATTAACTGGACGAAATAATAATCCAATTACTCGAAGTTCCGACATACAGAGATCATCATTATCAACATCACGCACAAGACCAACAAGTTTACAAAACTTAATTCATCAACGACATCAGTCACAATTACTTGATAATCAGAGTACTACTACAATGACTGGTACCACTACTACTACTGCTACTACCAGTAGTAGTACTTCATCACCTTCACATTTCAATCGCTTTCTAGTCACAACAGCTACTTGGCCTGTTTCCACATCTTTTCCTCGTCAACATCAAATAACACTACCGCTACTACTACTACTACTACTACTAGTACTACACAAAATCTTAATCGTTTCTCGCCTTCACGTATTACCGTTACCTCTTCTCTTACTAATACGCATGCACCAACTGGACCGGAATTAGCAGGATTTTTTCATCCAATTTTATTTATAGGATAAACGAGATTTTTCTATGCGTACATTGTCGTTGTTGTTGAGGTTGTTTTTCTTTTTAAAGGATAAAAAACCATAAGATTAGATGACTTTTCAGTCTATACTTTTTCCCTCTGGGTATTTTCCTTTCTTTATCTGTTAACATGCACCATATCCTCTCCCTCGCCCCAACTATACTTCAGTTTAATCCCCCTCCCTATCTTATTTCAATTACCAATGTAATTATAATCCCTTCATAATGGATGTTTGTTACTTTGTTGCTTTCATATTTATACTTATATTATGATATATTGATTTGCAGTTGTTTAACTATTATTACTATAAGTGATAATTTCTTTTTACTTTAGACAACTATTTTCAGTTGTGAATTGACTTTGTTCCTTTTTTAAAGAATGTAATTAAATGATTAAATTTGAGGAACATATGGTTTATGCAATCCTATTTCGATGGTTAAATGTATTATATTTAATGATATTTATACACTCAGAGGCATACAAACGAAAAACACCATAAATACAATCGATAGGTAAATAAATGACAAACAATAAGAGTAAGGAAAATTAAAGAAAACAGACGATGGGATTATTTGTTATACAAGGAAATAAAGAATGCAAGATGAATTACTAATGTAAAATTCATAGGATTATTGATCTCAAGAAAAGAAAGAAACAAAGCAATAATGAGGTAGGCAGGTGATGTATACATTAACATGTTGTTATTTTCAAAACTATACGTATCCAGGTAGTTTATTCTTATTCACTAAAATCATCATCTGTTTAGATCATACAGTTAATAATGATTATGCATACACAGTTGCTGTGCTCAAGATGAAAAGTATGCTGATCTGCTTCTTTGTGTGTGTGTTCGTATGTGTACGCCTATGTTTGTACTTTTTTATTTTTTACTAAGCTGGAACAAGAACTTCGTTCTTTTTTTCTGATAACTATTTTTTTTTAAAGAAAGAAAATACTACTAATTATATCCCCCTCCCTTTTTGTCGAGAAATTTGTTTTCCATTGTTATTGTTTGTATTTCCCTTCTTTTTATGTTTTTCTGTAATAAACTCTTCTTACTAGTTGACCACATTTTTATAAATTATAAAAGTATATTTTTAAAAGGACTAAATGGTTTACCTGATATTCTTGACTTGGCTTTCTTAATTATCTTGTGAAAAACAGTTTATTATTCTTGTTTATTTGCTAATAACTTGTGGCTAACAAAATCCACTAATGTTAATAATAAATAAATTATTTATATTGACCCCCTCCTTTAATAAAGTTTGTGCACAGTCTGTTAACCAATCAGTTTTAATTACGTGAAAATAATATACACATGTGTTTGTTTAATCGTATACATGTACTTATGTTCTCTTACATGTACACTTGTGTAATGCAATCCACTTAGACTTTCCTTTCATCATATCCACATATGATTAAGTTTTCTTTTGGTGGGAGAGAGAGGCGCTGAGTTGGTTTCTTTTCACTATCTTCAATCGTCTTTTTATATTATTTTCAACAAACAGAGAAAATAATCTACTGATATTACTATTACTATCACAAATATTATTACTGTTATATGATTTGTTTAATTCAATCAACTATATTTGTTTGTATTATTATGCAATTTTTTTACTAAACAAAAGAATTCGCTCTAGTTTATTCATTAACTTCTTCGTGTAGCTACTGTTCACTACTCTCTGGTTCGTTGATTGGTTCACTTTAAGAAGCAAACATCTTGACAATTATTATCAAGCCAATTCATTCTATGTGTGTGTAAGAGAGAGAGAGAGAGTTTTTTCTTATAATTTTTTATATATTTAATCTAAACAAGGAAGTTTTCAATAAAATGAGAGATAATAACTGAGACACTTCGTTATATCCTTGAGACTATAATAATAATAATTATTATTATTTTTACCATTAAATAAAAATCTACAATGAATATGACTATTGAAATAATGATAATTGCTGTTATTGTTACAATTCTGGGAATGAATGTTTTTACAAATAAATAAGTGGAATTTCATTGTATGTAATTTGTTGTATTTTTATTTTCAGTTTATTGAAATGAAATCAGTCAGTCAGCTACAACGTAGGACCAGGCACATGTATGCATCGGCCCAGGTTGCCATACCTCATTAGCACAACAAGATGGACACCGGATTCATAAAAGTAGTTAATTCAGAGGTGGTAATATATAAAAGAAAGATTGCAATAAGGATATAGTATAGGAATAAAGAAGTAGTCTGTAGAAAGAAAGATATGAAGCGATTTTAATCTCTTAGTTTAAGGAAAGACAGAGAGTGTATACACCGACACCATTGTGATCGATTCTGAGCCTTGTCACCAAGAGTCTCCAATGAAGTGTTATTTGCTAAAACTTATTAAGCAAATGTAATAAGAAATAATTCAACAATGATAAGTAAACTTTAGATAAGCTTCAGAACAATCTCTAATATGTAAAGACTAGAAATAATATTACTTGATTGACAAGTTATTACTAAAACTAACTTTCCGCACCTGTAGTTTAAGCGATAATATTCACCTTGATATACCAAACAGCATGTATTTTAAGATGATGTTCATTTCATTCTATTCTATAATTTTGCAACATACACTTTGAAAGTATAGTACATACATGATTTGCTAGTATTTTGTATCTTTGAAGAAATGCTCGCATATGGTTGGAGAATTAAGTAATTCTGAAATTACACTTAATGTATAAGATAAAAATTGGTTGATGTGACCATAAACTTTGTCAACTAAGATTATTAAGATTTATGTCGCGCACGCCAAATCACCTCTTAATAACAGTGGTGGCTAATATAGCAGTAGATTAGGAGAAGACTGGGAGTGTATGATAGTTAGAAGCATTTGAATTATAGTATGAACTAAGAATCCCAGAAATAACGTAATCGGATCAAGAAGTACTAGATAACCACAAACGAATGTATTGTATTTAGAATTCGAAATCAAGCATTCAACAAGTACAAAGGAATCATTAGTTCATTCAAACACCACAGAGTGATCAAATGAAGTTAGTGACTTTGGGTTTGAGCAGATGCTGTCAGTCGGTCAGCTACAACGTAGGACCAGGCACATATATGCATCAGTCCAAGTTGCCATACCGCATTAGCACAGCACAGTAGATGCTTTGCTTAGAGTCTGTTAGTTAATTCTTACCAATTGTTAGATCTTTTAAGTCCTATGAACAGAAATCTATTGTAGTGCTTTAAGTTTGCTCTTCTGTGGATCTTGAGTTTTAACATCAATATTTTTCACTCTTCTGTTTTGTTCAGTTGTTTAGACTTCAGCTTTTGTTCCTAATATCCCAAATCATACTTTTCAAATGAATCCTTCGGAGATTTTTTAAACTAATAACTTTCTAATTGTCCAAAAACTATACCATAATGTGAATTCATGTTTGTACTAGCCTGTTCATATTTAAAGTTTTGGCTTACGCCTGTTACTCGCCGTGAAGGAGCATAGGCCACACACCAGCGTTCTCCATCCAACCCTGTCCTGGGCAATCCTTTCCAGTTGTTATTCATCCTTTTCATATCTGCTTCTATTTCCCGAGGTGATGTCTGGTGTCTCCTCATTTGTGGATCTTTCGCCTTTTAATAAAGATTTCCGTGGGGAAGCACAATACAATGAGTCTTATCTCATATTTAATGTGCTTATAATTATTTCGCGTTTCGATTAAAAACGTTCATAGTGCTTGGCTGACCAAACTTAAGTAGTTATCTTTTTGACTCTGTGTTCATCCACCGAGGTTGACGATACCACTACTAATACAGTTTCTCTCTGAAGCAGGAATGTCCTTCCATAGTGTGGGTAAATGGGAAGTGACAACCACTCACACATATAACAGCAATTGAGGTTACTTAGTTCACTATCATATCCCTAGATTTCTTAATATTTCTATTCATACTCAACCCCTCCTTTATGGCTTGATTTTTTCTCTATGCGCGGTTAATGCTAACGATATGAGTTCCAGAAATGTCATTCCTAGTCAACTGAAACTGCTCCAAGCTACATATTGGAGCATCCAGTGCTTAAATCTTATACCAAATTGGACAACAGGCTTCATTACCTGGAACTATAGAACCTCACATGCTGGATCTCTGGAGCTTGCATATGGGTCCCAAGTGTAGCCATTCACTTGACCTCGCCTAGACAAAATGCAACTTTTCGTGTACTTTGAGATGACTGTTACTTTTTATGGCCTAATTAGTGTAGGTATAACTCTAAGTCCAAAAGTAGGACAAGCTCTCCAGGGATTTGGAAAAATAGAAAGACAGGCTGGTGTTTCCTCGTCATCTTTCCCCAATCTCTTGATGACTAGTTAAAATGAAGGGAAATATAGGTCATACAGAAAATGCTTTGATCTTCGAGAGGCTAGACGTAATCGTGGCAGATGATTTTAGTGCATTGATGGACAGTTTAAACCAAGTTGAAATTCACTTAAGTGGCACTTTCGGTATACCAACTTAGCAAGCAGATAACGGCGGTCGTCTGCTAAAACTACTGTCAATTAATCATCTGTTTCTAGAGAGCACTAACTTTAAACATAGGGAGAGACATTATCTGACATGGGAAACCCTCTACTCTAAGAAAAGTCAACAGACTATGTAGCCACTAGCCATGTTCGAATAAATGTTAACTGAACTCATCAGTACTGCATACATCGATGAAAGTTTTGGATGGAATTGAATCCAATTAGAGATCACGGAGATTTTGTATCTTTAAATTTCCGAATAATGCGATTTTGTTGTCATTATTATTTTAAGACACTATTTTGAATATTTCCTTATTTATAGATAAGTTGGGAACGATAAACATTGGTTAATCCAATAAACAATTTTTTAAAAAAAATATTGACGATAATGTTTGTATGTCTGGACAAGAAATATAAGATAATCATAGTAATATTTTGTTTTTCTTACTTGTCATTCTCTTTGTTGTTTGTTGTTGTTCATCTTCTAACAAATTATTTAAATCTTCAGATATTTACAACATTGTACATTGAATAACTGATCAATGAACAGTTAGTTGTTTTTAAGTTTTACAATCACGTTACATGTTCATTCAGCAAGACATTTTACAGTTGGAAAGTTTATGAAAATAAATGGACTAGGTCATGCAAACTTGCAGAATAATAATAATTTTTGTTCAGTATTTTCACAATATTTATCTCTATATTCTCTATACATATTCAGTTGAAATTAAGTTTACATTTTTTTTTGTGAAAAAGGGAATATTACGCATAAATAAACGACAGATGTAAGTGATATAAATAGTTATTTACAGATAGGTTTGGCTAAAGGTTCATGCCATTATAGTTAGTTTATTAAAATTGGAAATGTAGATAATTTAAACGTAACTCAATCAAATGAATGTAACTCACTCACTGAGATTCCTGGATGTTTTTGTTTTAAACCGTTGTAATCAGACGAAAAAGTACTGACTACTAAGAAGCTGTAAGAAAGTATGAAACAATTATTTTTGACGGAGTATTGTTCCCTGAGCTGGATGGTTTGGTTGTGGAGCTTTCATTGTTCTTTTGAAATAATTGTTTAGCACTTCTAAGATTTGAATATTTCAGTTTAAATACTCGACTTAATTATTTTCTGTTGTTTACAATAAAGAATGAGATGAGATGAGACTAAAAGTACTGATTTATGCATTAACTGTGATAAGAAAGAACTTCACTTTCTTTCAATATTCTGATCTGTTTTATTAATCAATCAATGTTTAATTACATTCTATATTACAAAACGTAATAAAGAATCACCCGATTTATTCTATTTTACAATTTCATAATTGTAATCA